CCAAAACGTAAGACACAATTTTTATAGAGCACTTAATTTCCTACAAAAATTTGTATTGTACACTTTTTAATAGTCATTTATTGACGAGTTATAAAATTCATAAACAAAAGTGAAATTTGTCTAAAAATCATCGAATTTAAATCTTCAATATCATTCAAATGGTGAGGTTTACAGAAAAAATATAAGATACCTTTTTTGTAGAGCATTAAATTTCCTACAAAATTCGTCTAAAACATTTTTCTGTACAATCAATAAATAATGAGGTATGAATTGTAATCTATTGGACTGAAAAAAAAATAAAAAATTGCGATGCGGAGGATCTTCCTATTAAAATTAAGAGCTCATATTTGGTGAGAATTTTTTTAAGGTGTCTAGCAACCCATTTTTCCGTGGCACTTGAAAAAAAAAAAAAAGTCATTTTTTTGACCCACCCTAATATATATTATATTATAAATATAATTATTAATAATACATATATATTGATATAAAAAATGATATATATATATTGATATCTAATTTAAATAAAATAAATTTCTTCATTTCAAAAAAGTGTGTAGCACAGTTCAACATAACCCAATTTCTTATCGCGTCTAGAACAAAAACAAAAAAAAAAAAATCCTATAACGGTAAGGTTATCTCGTATTTTACTTATGGTAGCGTCAGATAACAGACAATAAGTATCAACAAATTTTCTAATATATCATTGTTATAAAATAAAAATTGAAAAAAGAAAAAGAAAAAGAAAATAAAGATACAAACAAATACAATACACAAAATAAATCCAAAAAGTAAATAAAAAAAAAAAATAAATAAAATCCTTAACAAATTCTTAACTCAACACCGACACAAAATAAATGAAAAATAACTTTTCAAACGTTTCAATTATTTTAAATAAAAAAATATTAAAAGTATCAATTTAAAATAGTTTAAATAAATACCTATGTTTACTATGCATATAAATCATCCGAAAAAAGAAATTAAAAAAAAAAAAAAAAAATACAGATCGTTGTATTTGCCATAACATATCGTTTATTCCCCATAACATATTGAAACGATGAAAAGGAAAAATAAAAACAATAAAAGAATGTAAATTTCTCAATTCCCACGTGTCAGAGTTTATACAGTTTTATCAAACGGCTTATGAGACAATTATATAAGATCAATAACAGTTAGTTGATTCCAGGTGCAACACCTGCGTTCAAGGATCGAACATTTAACATCTGCAATTCATAAACTAAACGTTTTCTAGAACATACAACGTATCAAAATGTGTTTATGACGTTTCCTTATCACCCATAATTCCATTATTTTCTTTCTCTCATCCGCACACAACCACACACACACACACAGATGTGTATATATATAAGTATGTAATGTATAAAACGTGTTAACATGAATTCACCAAATCAGTTAATTTCTTGTTCAATTTTAATATATATATATGTAGACTTATCCATCTCAAATATGAGAACATGATTAAATAAAACATTTGGGTTCAAGGACAAGTTTAAAAATATTTTATCTATTTGTATATTAAATCAAGATAATTAAGGTGTCCGATGTTCGATTAAAAATAATTTCATTATCTAAAGTGTCTATAGTAATTAATAATGCTTACATTAATTTCATTCGCATAATCTTTCTTTCTATTTGTTATATTTATTTTAGAAATTATCCTAATGTCTCTTGTGATGATAATAATAATTAGTATATATATATATATGTATATTTTTATTTTATATAAATTTATATCAATTTATTAATTTTATATATTATAATACATAAATTTATTATATGTTTTTATATATTAAATTTATAAATTTATTACATTTGTGTATATATTAAATGTATAAATTTATTAATTTTATATACTTTAATATATAAATTTATTATATTTAGTTTTATATTAAATTTATAAATTAATTAATTTTATATATTTTAATATATAAATTTATTCTATTTATTTTTATATTAAATTTATATAAATTTATTAAATTTATTTTTATATTTTAATATATAACTATTTATATAAAATAAAAAAAACATATACAGATATATACACATATACTAATTATAAATATATAAATACAACGCATATACTATATTTTCATAATGTTACGTCAATGATGATAAATTAATCAATGATAATAATCATCGTAATCACATGTGTCGAGACAATTATTAACGTCTCAATCGATTCTTTATTTACATTTCTTTATACTAAACTCAACGAACTGTAAATGATTTCTTCTTTTTCTCTTTTTTATTTCTTTTTTATTTTTTTTTTTTCATTACTTTTTTATTTCTTCTTTTTTTTCTCTTCATTTTCGTTTTCTTCTTTGTAATTAATTTTTTGAATTTATTTTTCAAAATCAAAACAACAATAAAATGATTTTATTTCAAAAATTTGATCGAATAACGTGGACAGGGTTGAAAAGTATTGAACCTAACCTCAAAGTTTTTATTTTCTCAACATAAATTTGACGATCTTTTAAATGTTAATCATTGGCAGATAATTTTGTGATTTTTTTTTCTACTTTAAGAAATTTTTAATATAAAAGATAAAGAGAGACCTATGATAAAAAAAAAAGAGAGAGAGAGAGAATAAGAAGGAAAAGAAAAAGGGGGAGAAAAATAAGAAAAATTCCATTTACGAGAAATCTATTTCGTAAATATTGCAAATACGTAACATTTGTTGTTTATTCCATTAGAAAGAAAATTTGTGAAGAAAACAGATTAATTCTCGTTACTTGAGATGCTGGAAATCAGTATTTAACATCTTATATCTTGGTAATAGATACGCGATATTGTAAACAAACGTCATTTTCACCGAAACAATACAAAACACGATTAATTGCTACGTACTTGTGTAAACTTAAAGTTAACTTTGGGAATAATTCAATCGTATAATCGAATTTCAACAATTTTACTTATTCACACGTGTATTTCATTCTGTAAATAATGTAACATTTGTTAACACGATTTATAACACAAGGATAATTGTTTCAAACAAAACAATATTAAAAAGAAAAAACCTTTTTAAAAAAATCAAACATTAATCGTTAGTCTGAAAAATGGGATGATTTTTACATTAAGCTCAGAATTTTTCAACTAACCTACAAATATTGAAAATAATTTCACGTCTATCTTTTGTTTTTTTTCCAAAATCAATATTAAAAAAGAAAAATTGTTATTCACTCGAATAAAATTATTATTATTACAATTAATTATTATTGTTTTAATGGTTTTTTTTTTTTTTTAATAAAATTTAACATAACGAAATAATTAAGTAACAAAATGTGATTACAATGATTTGATTTTTTTTTATTTTTTATATTGCAATAATATTGTTATTTATATTGCAAAAATGATTTATTAAATACAATCGATAGAAACACAATGATCCACCCGATATATAAAAGAAAAAGGGAGAGTAAAAATACACTGGATGATAAACTGACAATACGATACGATTAGTATATTATTATTATTATTATTGTTATTATTATTATTATTAATATTATTGTGATTATAAATGTATATAAATCATAAGAAGAGCAATAACCTTATACGCATAAACATGAATAAGCACCGACGATGAAGTTACGTGTCATAATACACGTGTTGTTTCGAAGTAGTAAGGAAAAAATATGAGAATATAAGATGAATGATTCACACAGATGATACTCTAAACCTCTCTCATGCTTGTTTTCTTCTAAACTAATTAAAAAGTAGAAAGAAAGAAATGAAGAAGGAAAGAACAAAACAAAAAAAAATAGAACAAAACGTGCGTAGAAAGTAATAGGAAAAACCAGCAATTTTTTCTCTTTTTTTTTCCCATATAAAATTATTCAAATTCAAAAATATTACTTTAATTTATTTATCTTTTATTTTGTCTGATAATTTTTTTTTTTTTTAAATATTATCTTAATAATATTATATTATATTCTTTTATGTAAAAGAATAATATATGTTTATTTTAAAAATAAATTTAAAAATAAATATAGAATAATAAATATAAATAATATTAATTAAATTAAATACAATATTAATATAAATAATTACGTTAATTTATTGATCTTTTATTTCTTTTTTTTTTTTAAATATTACCTTAATAATATTAAATAAATATAATATAATATATTCTGTTTATATTTTAATTATTAAATTACTGTTACATATATTATAATTATTATTAAGATTTATATATCTTTAAACTAATTTTATGTAAATATCATTTATAGAATTTATGATTTAGAAGATCGTTTTGAATTTAATTATTTACTTTCAAAACCCACGTACATATATATCTCAGGTGAGTTATAATCAATCTTTGACATAGGTAAGATCGTAAAGCCGTTTAATTTTAATTTCCTTTATCCACGTGGTTCCCGTTACTCTTACAACAGCAGTAACCGAACGAGTAAGTTTCTCTTTTGATATTATAAAAAAAAAAAACAGATTTCAATGCACTGTACGGTCACGAACACAGTTTTATATTTTCTCTTCTATCTAAAGCACGAAAAGATCGATCGAAAGAGAAATTTTTATGTAATTAATTTTGTTTTTTCTTCTTCTTTTTTTTTCTTTTTTTTAATTATCTAATCCAGTTTTCGTATTATTCGAATAGCTATTAAAAAATCTAAAATACTTTTATATAATATATTTTATAATATCAAATTGAATATAATAATAAATCACATAAAATTTATTATTTCAATTTATTTTGATTCAGTAAATTGTCATAAAATTACTTGCACAAGTAACGTTGAAATTTTAAATGGCGTAATATATAAAAAAAAAAAATTGCAAAACTTCGAGGATCCAGTGTTTAATAAGATTAAATATTTAATAATATATTTAATAATTGAGGATTAATAATAAATTTGGGAACAATTCTCCGAACAAAAAAAATCCTAATATTAAAATCGTCTGAATAAAATAAAATAAAGTACATAGAAAACAAACTAATAAACAAAAAATAAAATAAAATAAAATACCTGGAAACTGAATCCGGTACAAATATATTCCACCAAGAAGGTCTCTTTTGTCTTGTTTGAGTATAAAGTGCTTCAGCACTTGCAACTTGTTCCAATGGTGCAGCACCAACAACAGCCTTTTTCCTTTTCCTTTCAGATTTGGATGGTTTATTGGCAAGCGGATGCCACGACTTCCTTCTACCTTTTTTAGCTTCGATCTTAGCAGCTCTTTCCTCTTCCTCATGTTCGAGAACATCGCGTTTTTCTTCAAGAAGATCATCAGTTACGTAAAAAACTGATCCCCTTCTATTGGCGGCGCCACCGTCGCTACTTCTTCTTTTATCTTTACCGTAAACGATTTTCAATTGTTTCGCATTTTCTTTTTCATCGAATGTACTTGCACGACGTGCCCTTTGCCATAGACTGTCCCTACGTGCTTTTAAATCTTCGAGTACACTGTACCTTCTACCTTTAGCAGCTGACGCGCCACTTGCTGCTGTTGTAGTAGTACCATCTCTCAAGATGGCCGCCGATTTACTACCACCGGTAAATCGTTCGGCCGTTATTCTTTCAAACGAATATTCATTTTCTTCATCCATCGTCGATGGTATTGAATTAGTTGACGCGTATTTCATCGTTAATTGTTTTTCTTGTTTAACGTTTCTATCCAAATTACAATTTTTCTTATTTAATTCGTCTTTTATGTACATCTCAGTTTCCATACTACGTTCTACTCCAACGAAATGATGAGAACTACTAATCCAAACTAATTTATATTAATATACTTTCTGTATATATATATATATATATATATATGGATAGAAAAACATGAATACAATAATATCACAACAATAGTCTTTCGATTTCTCTTTATCTTTATCTATCCTAGATAATTCGTTCAAAATTTGTTTTGTTTTAACTAGAAAATATTTTCATATCATAAAAATATTTATCCTCTTCTTCTTCTTTGATGAACAATAAAAAAAACAAGTAAACAACTCGTCAACTAAACGGAAGAACGTTATCATTTCTTTCTTTCTCTTCCTAACCTGTGTGTTTTGTGTTTATGTGTATGTGTGTTCACGAGAGACCGTTAACGTGCCCGTCACGATCAGCGGGGGAGCAAGAAAGAGAAAGAGAGAGATAAATATATTTATATATATATATATATAGATAGATAGAAGGAATACTCGGTGAAAGCGGCACGACCGCCTTTTCACTCTGAACTAACTCGTCCTCTTCCTCTTCTTCCTCTTCTTCTTCTTATTCTTCTTGACTTCGTCTTGTTCAACCAATCGTATTCTTCTATTTAACTATCTTCTTTTAAAATAATAATCACGTATTATTTTCTTCTTCTTCTTCTTATTATTATTATTCTTTAACGATGTATTAAAACCAACGATTTTCTTCAACCAATGTTGTCCACGTATTTGTCGTTCCCTTCCGCATAATTATTTTGTTAATACACAAAACAAAAATATTAATAATAATATTCCTTTACTTTGGCACGCGCGAAATTCTCCCTCTCTCTCCCCTTTTTTTTCTCACACTTAATTGAGAGAGGGGAGGGAGAAAAATTCGTAAACACACGAACTAACGAGATTTTTCTTTTTTATTTATTTTTCTTTTTTTTTGTTTTGTTTTTTTTTTTTTTTTAAACGCGAAAGTAAAGTTTAATGAAATATTTAAATGATTTGAGTTATAAAAAATGACTGATGTTAATTAAAAAAAAAAAAAAAAATTCAGCCCTCACCCGCGGAGGGTTGAACGCACGAACGCTTCCGGTTTTCACTCATCGCTTTTCTCGAAGTTACTTGAAACAACTCTCTCTCTCTCTCTCTCTCTCTCTCTTTCTTTCTTTTTCGTTTTCTCTGTTTCTTTTTGTATTTCTCTCTCTCTCTCTCTCGCTCCTTTTCTCGAAACAGAAATGGAGCCCTGCTTTCTTCGAGGAGACACACTTTCGCGTATGGAAGAATTTAACGTAATAATTTTTTTTTGTCTTCTTCTATTCTTCTTCTTCTTCTTTTTTTAAATTTTTTTTTAATTTTCTTACCAATCGTTAATTCAAATTCACGCACATAGGTAAAGTTGTTCTAAACGATACGATGAACGATTTTATTTAATTACTCCATTTCTTCCTACGTTTGTTTTTCTTTCTTTTTTCCTTTCGTTTTTTATATTAAATTTTCTCACAAAGTATATACAACATATCTATATATATGTATATATATACATAAGAGATAAATTATTGTTTTTCTTTTTTTTTTTTTATTACATATTTTCCCATTCACGCGCACTAAATCGAAATCAAATTTCGATCACGAATACAATTACGAATTTAATTGTCTCGTTGTTCGCGCGCGTAATAATAACAATAATAATAATAACAAGTAAACATTTTCGATGAACCGAATTATTTTTTATTATTATTTTTTTTTGTCAAAACATTCGTTGTTACCGTTTTAAATATCGAGCATGACGGAACAGTGGAGTGGAGTGGGGGATAGGGGACGAACGAGGGACTAGCGGGGGTGTGCAAATGAGACAAAAAAAAACGGACGTCACGAGAATCGAGTATCGCGAAGACTAAACTCGAGAGAAAGAACCCGCTCGTATTTATACAGCTCGAAGAGAACGAGCAAACTGTCTTTCTCGTTCGCGTCCTCTCATCGCTACGAGTTCCCCCCTTCCTCTTAGCCGTATCCCCTTTCCCCTCAACCCGATCGTCCAGTACACCTTCAGCCCACCCCACCCACCCATATTTTCTACTCACCGTCTCTGTATCCTACCACTACTACTACTATCAAACCCAACCGCACGCCACTGCTATGATCACTGCCAGTAAACTGCATGAGTTAGTGAGTGTGTTGATATGTGTGTGTGTGTGCGTGTGTATGTTTATGTGTGAAAGAGAGAGAATGAGAGTGTACGGGAGACTGCACTGTTGCCAATGTTCGGCCCTTTTACGAGACTGATTGTACGGAAGGAAGGTACAAGTGGTTATATGTGGTGTTGATAAATATTATAAATAATATATGGGTATGTATATATGTATATATGTATGTATGTATTTCGGGTATGCTATAGATTTGTTTAAAGTAAATTTATTTCTTTTCTTTTTCTATTTTTTTTGGAGGGGGAGGGGGAGCTGGAGAGGGTTACTGTTTAGTAATGTACAATACTGTATGTTGGTTAATATGTATTGTATATTAATATAATTTTTATTTAATTATGTTAAGAATTAAATAAATGTACATTATTTAAATATACATTTATAAATGTATATTATATATATATATATAAATATGAAAAAAATAAATTTTATTAAATTTATTGAATTAGATTATAAATCTTAAATAAATATAAAGATTGAATAAATTTAATTATGTTAATAATTAAATAAATATATA